CATTCCCAAGACACTAGTTGGTAAACAACACTGAAAGCAAGATATTTTACGATCAGCTATGTGATCATAACAAATGCTGCTGTCGTCACCGATGGCCTGTGTGTGTGCGTATTCACCGATGGCTTGTGTGTGTGGTTAGTCACCGATGGCCTGTGTGTGTGGTTAGTCACCGATGGCCTGTGTGTGTGGTTAGTCACCGATGGCCTGTGTGTGTGGTTAGTCACCGATGGCCTGTGTGTGTGCATATTCACCGATGGCCTGTGTGTGTGGTTAGTCCACAATGGCCTGTTTGTGTGGTTAGTCACTGATGGCCTGTGTGTGGTTAGTCCACAATGGCCTGTGTGTGTGGTTAGTCACCGATGGCCTGTGTGTGTGGTTAGTCACTGATGGCCTGTGTGTGTGGTTAGTCACTGATGGCCTGTGTGTGTGGTTAGTCACTGATGGCCTGTGTGTGTGGTTAGTCCACAATGGCCTGTGTGTGTGGTTAGTCCATAATGGCCTGTGTGTGTGGTGAGTCACTGATGGCCTGTGTGTGTGGTTAGTCACCGATGGCCTGTGTGTGTGGTTAGTCACCGATGGCCTGTGTGTGTGGTTAGTCACTGATGGCCTGTGTGTGTGGTTAGTCCACAATGGCCTGTGTGTGTGGTTAGTCACTGATGGCCTGTGTGTGTGGTTAGTCACTGATGGCCTGTGTGTGTGGTTAGTCGACAATGGCCTGTGTGTGTGGTTAGTCACTGATGGCCTGTGTGTGTGGTTAGTCACCGATGGCCTGTGTGTGTGGTTAGTCACCGATGGCCTGTGTGTGTGGTTAGTCACTGATGGCCTGCGTGTGTGGTTAGTCCACAATGGCCTGTGTGTGTGGTTAGTCACTGATGGCCTGTGTGTGTGGTTAGTCACTGATGGCCTGTGTGTGTGGCTAGTCACTGATGGCCTGTGTGTGTGGTTAGTCCACAATGGCCTGTGTGTGTGGTTAGTCACTGATGGCCTGCGTGTGTGGTTAGTCACTGATGGCCTGTGTGTGTGGTTAGTCGCTGATGGCCTGTGTGTGTGGTTAGTCACTGATGGCCTGTGTGTGTGGTTAGTCACCGATGGCCTGTGTGTGTGGTTAGTCACTGATGGCCTGTGTGTGTGGTTAGTCCACAATGGCCTGTGTGTGTGGTTAGTCACTGATGGCCTGTGTGTGTGGTTAGTCCACAATGGCCTGTGTGTGTGGTTAGTCACTGATGGCCTGTGTGTTTGGTTCGTCCACAATGGCCTGTGTGTGGTTAGTCACTGATGGCTTGTGTGTGTGGTTAGTCGCTGATGGCCTGTGTGTGTGGTTAGTCACTGATGGCCTGTGTGTGTGGTTAGTCACCGATGGCCTGTGTGTGTGGTTAGTCACTGATGGCCTGTGTGTGTGGTTAGTCCACAATGGCCTGTGTGTGTGGTTAGTCACCGATGGCCTGTGTGTGTGGTTAGTCACCGATGGCCTGTGTGTGTGGTTAGTCACTGATGGCCTGTGTGTGTGATTAGTCACTGATGGCCTGTGTGTGTGGTTAGTCCACAATGGCCTGTGTGTGTGGTTAGTCCACAATGGCCTGTGTGTGTGGTTAGTCACTGATGGCCTGTGTGTGTGGTTAGTCACTGATGGCCTGTGTGTGTGGTTAGTCACTGATGGCCTGTGTGTGTGGTTAGTCCACAATGGCCTGTGTGTGTGGTTAGTCCACAATGGCCTGTGTGTGTGGTTAGTCACTGATGGCCTGCGTGTGTGGTTAGTCACTGATGGCCTGTGTGTGTGGTTAGTCACTGATTGCCTGTGTGTGTGGTTAGTCACCGATGGCCTGTGTGTGTGGTTAGTCCACAATGGCCTGTGTGTGTGGTTAGTCACCGATGGCCTGTGTGTGTGGTTAGTCACTGATGGCCTGCGTGTGTGGTTAGTCACTGATGGCCTGTGTGTGTGGTTAGTCACTGATTGCCTGTGTGTGTGGTTAGTCACCGATGGCCTGTGTGTGTGGTTAGTCACCGATGGCCTGCGTGTGTGGTTAGTCCACAATGGCCTGTGTGTGTGGTTAGTCCACAATGGCCTGTGTGTGTGGTTAGTCCACAATGGCCTGTGTGTGTGGTTAGTCACTGATGGCCTGTGTGTGTGGTTAGTCCACAATGGCCTGTGTGTGTGGTTAGTCACCGATGGCCTGTGTGTGTGGTTAGTCACCGATGGCCTGTGTGTGTGGTTAGTCACTGATTGCCTGTGTGTGTGGTTAGTCACCGATGGCCTGTGTGTGTGGTTAGTCACTGATGGCCTGTGTGTGTGGTTAGTCCACAATGGCCTGTGTGTGTGGTTAGTCCACAATGGCCTGTGTGTGTGGTTAGTCCACAATGGCCTGTGTGTGTGGTTAGTCACTGATGGCCTGTGTGTGTGGTTAGTCCACAATGGCCTGTGTGTGTGGTTAGTCACCGATGGCCTGTGTGTGTGGTTAGTCACCGATGGCCTGTGTGTGTGGTTAGTCACAGATGGCCTGTGTGTGTGGTTAGTCCACAATGGCCTGTGTGTGTGGTTAGTCACCGATGGCCTGTGTGTGTGGTTAGTCACCGATGGCCTGTGTGTGTGGCTAGTCCACAATGGCCTGTGTGTGTGGTTAGTCACTGATGGCCTGTGTGTGTGGTTAGTCCACAATGGCCTGTGTGTGTGGTTAGTTATCGATAGTCCGCCCAGCCCTCTGGAATGCAAGGAAAGGGTTATTTAGACTCTTTGTGGTCCCTGTTTTTCAGTCCAAGGCAGTCTCTGTGACCTATGCTTGTCTTATCAACTAAGCATTTTTTGTTTTTATATATGTGGGGAATGTAAGATTAACGCACGGTAAAGGATCAAACACTTTGTGATCGCTCGGATTTTGCCGTTGGATGAACTGGCTTTAGATTTTAGATCGTTAAAAGATACACTACATAATATTACAGTATTTTAAACCATTATCCAATAAGCTCTGTACCCTCCTGGAACTACGTCTTATCTCCAATGTTTATTCCATGGTTGTTGTTTTTTTTAAAGCTTTGTGAGTGAAAATAAGACCTGTCCCATTTGTGGCACCATGCTGGAGCTCTGCCATCCACGCAGTTGGCAAAAGATTCGCACAAATGCCATAAGACGCACGGAGAACAGGCACTGGAGATGGACTCTTTAATGACAATACTATTTCTAAGTTGCGCCACTATGTAATAAAGCAGCAATTTACTGCATTAAACGGCAAATATGCCACCAGTGATTGAGCACCCACGTGTCCAATTGATAGGAAACTACAGCCAAATAAAGGCTGCAGATCTATACCACGCGCTGTTCCCTCAATCAGCACCACCGGCTTGTGGTATAATTAAAAGCATTAGCAGTCACAGGCGATGGTCAGAGAGGGGGAAAAAAGGGATGCTTAATGGACTGCCACTCTTAATGAACTGCCCACTAACGGGCAGCGCTAATGAGTAATGAAATAAATAGTCGCTTCATCGGGCAATGCCGAGCCACTGCCACCAGCCAGACAAGGTCACCGAGGAGTGCCCTGGTGTCTGCTCTTGACGTCGCTGCTTTTTGCTACATAGCGTGCCAAGGGTAAACATTGCTTAAAGCCAAAATCCCCACTATTACTTTGAAGATACTCTTCACTGCAATACATTTCACCGACTACCATCACATTATGGTCGCTCTATAAATCCGATTCAAATAAGATGCCATTCTAACTGGCCTCACGATGGATAACTATACAAACCCAGTTCCACGTGCGTTTCTGAACGGAACCTGTGTCCTTGAAAGCGTTTATTATTTACTTCGTATATCAAGTGTCCTTTTTAAAAGTGCAACAAATTTACGGAGAAGGGTGGAAGAGACAGAAAAGAAAAGTCAAATGTGAAATGCATGTGTCCGTGCAACACAATGGAGGACGGCGTTGTTACGGCTTGGCACTTTGAATGTGCTGCACCGAAAAAAGTTTAACGAATGAAGTTGTACGTTTCGAGGCCGCGTCGGGCCACAACGGTGCACATCGGCATGTCCTCGGCACTGCAAGCAAGAGTAGCTCCAGCAAACAAGAGTCCAGAGACTTGCTGCCACCCCCCCCCCCCAACATCGCTCCAAATATTCTACTCCTGGTTGCTGGGGTTGGGGGGGGGGTGTGTGGCGGCCGTGCACTGAAATTCTGCCACTCACACCGCCCCTGTTGCGCGTGCCAGCGTTTCGGCAAGAGAATCAATACTAGTAATTTAAAATTAAATATAAATGTCAGTTATTATATGCAGTCGGACATTTTTACTGCTTGTCCTAAACCCTGACAAATGGTGGCGTTCAATGCATTTATGCCGTAGGCCTCTTTGCACTGGGGCTCAGGCTGAACTATTTGTTCCCTATAACATCACGAATGGCAGCAGGTCACGGGCACATTCCTGGAAGCCCGCTGGTTGCAATGCGTGCTTATGTTGATTCCATCGTGATTGCGGGTGTATGCGCGGAGGGGGGGGGGGCGGACGAATGGACGGGGGGGGGGCCTTGCAGCAGTTGAGCCGCTTGTCAGTGAACGGTTTTCAGCAAATGGTGCCGGCTTTGTCATTGCGCCGAGCACTTTTTTTTTTGTATTCCCCGCGGGCGCACCGGGAAGACGGTGGCAATGCCGCGTGCGAGCGGCGCTGCAGTGCCGGGCGAGCGCCTGCAATTGTGCGGCCCTCGTCTGTGTGAAGTTCAGGCGCCTGCCCGCCTCAACGTTCAAACGGATAGCTTCCCATAGTTTTACATTAATTATTATGCCGCCTCTCCCGCACGCACGCACACACACACAGTTGACTAATGGGTTTCGTTCGTTACATTAACCGCCCACTGCACACGCCTCCTGCGCAATGGTTTAAGGAGCCACCCATATGTCATGAAGGGAAAAAAATAATAATCTGAACAGACGAATACAACCTTGCTACCTTGCCGTGCAAAAACTGCTTCACTCCTCTTGCTCTCTTGTTGTCTCCACCGTCCCCCCCCCCCACCTCTGCAGTGAGCGCCAGGGCGTCCTTCGCACAGGAGCCATCGGATTGCTCGGTGGTGGCTGGCCAGCCAGTCACGCTCATGTGCGTGGTTGCTAACTACTCGGGCATTGTGCAGTGGACCAAGGACGGGCTGGCGCTGGGTGCCGAGCATCACCTGCCAGGTACGCAGCTGCCCCCGCCCCCACCCCCCCCTCTCTCTAGCGGCACACTCCCTCCGCGGTGCGGGCCCGTTTCAAGGCCGCTTCAGTCACTCAGGCGCGGCGTGCGGCCACCGTCACTCGGTTTTCGAAGCGAGGCGGAGGCTCGTTGAAGACACAATAGCAGCATTGAAGAAGAAGCGCCAGTTACGCGAGCGCACCAAAAATTGATTTAGCAAAAAGCGAAAATTCAACAGATGCGGGAAAACCTTGCCCAATGCAGCTCCGTTGAATGCGCGTTTTGGCAATACCTGTACACGGTTTAAGTAATGAAGTCTGTTTTGGGGAACACGGGGAATGATGTTTCGGTCTCTACGTGGTTTGACGCTGCTAAGATTCTCATCTGCACCAGAAAAGTGTTCCATGAGAGTGCTGCATTCATTGGAAGGTGTGAATGGATCGACTGTGAGAACCATTAGTTACCACGTATGTTTATGTGTTTTTTTCTATGTTTTTGCATGATAATGTAACACATTCCACACACACACAATGGCCCAACGCAAATGTTCACACAGTGCCGCATGCATCTAACCGTTCACTCCTTGAGCATGTCAGTCGTACGGGCGCCTAGAACGGCGACGCGTTAACGTTCGAGTGACTGACGTATCCAGACAGAAGCCAAAATCAGACGTTGATTGGTTCATCTAGTTATGGGCGAATGAGGTTAGAAAATTCAGTGTCAGGGGCGAGCGTTGGCCGTGAGTCCCGTGGTGTGGGAAGAAAAATGAAAACGGGGGTTTTGTATTGAGGTGAAATAAAAAAAATAGTGTACACACACACGCAAGAAACGAATAACGACTCAGAATCCTTAATAAGAATAACAAGGGTCGAAATCTTGTAGAATTAGTTAAACAAAGAGGAAGGGGGTGATAATTTCAGACCCAGGAATGCAACCCTGCATTTTACATGAGGTTTGTCACCTGTCGAACGCGGTTTTGCCCAACACGGCATTTTCCAGGAATGTAACAAGGTTTGCACCACGTAATTCATTTATTTTTTCATCAATTTTTTATTTTTATTTTAAACAATTCAAACAAGAAGGGAACCAACCCACCGTTTACATCGCACAGTGGTTTGCTCCAAAGCCTTACATCGATATTTGTAGTGGCAGTGCCAAAGAACTCGCGAGCTTTCGCGCCATTGGGGAAGCCACGGCGGCAATTATTCATTTAATCTCACAACTGTGGCAGATGAAAAGTTGGCTGGCCCATTTGTACACAAGGCCGAAGGCTTTGGATAGCAACCACAACCCTTGTCCCTGTTTTGAACAAAGCAAAGCCAGTAATAAGGCTTTGGCAACACCGCAGCCGTGCACTGCATCATAGATTACGTTCGATTTCTGGAACACGGTCATATTGACAGCATCACTCCCCCGTAATTGTATGTATCTTTTTTTTTTACTGAAATACCGGAAAGTCTGGATGGCTGTCCATGATTAAACCAGGTCGTCGAGGATTGTGAGATAATGGTCTTGGCCTGGTCACCGATACATATATACAGGTATACGGCCATATTGTCAATCAACTGCTATATAAGTGCCAACCCTATGCCGTACAGGTCCTGGGAGCGACTAGACCATACGTAACCATGCGAGTGAGTGCATGTTGAAGGTCCGGAGCAGATGCGTGAGAGCATAGGAGTGCAGCGCAACAGTTGGTTAGCACAGCACTGCCCTCTGTTGCACAAAATATAGCACTGTTGCCTTTGTGACAAATGACTGCACAAAAAAGCATCACGTAAAATGTGTTTTTTTTTTACTTTATATTAACTAAATTCCAGCTACGGAAAATAAAAATATAAGTTTGACAGTGATTTGATGTACATTACTTTGTAGAACGGTGGGTGGGAATATTATACCCCTGAATGTTCCAGTTTATTTATTTATTTCAGTTTTATTTATTTTGGAAGAGCCCTGTGAGCCATTCGGCTCTTGAATCGGGTGCAACCACAACAACAAAAAAACCACGAACAAGAAAAACATCTTAAAGTGACTATGTGACTGTGCAAACAGAAAATCCATGAAAAAAAACAGCAAAATATTCCTGAAAAAAGCACCGTACCCCAACGCTGTGTGCAAAAAATCCCAGTGGGATGCAAGTCAAACAACAACAACAACCACAAGAAAACTTAGATTAAGGCCATCAGTCTAACTCCGTACTACAACAAAACAAACATGTCCAAACCAAAAAAACTTTTCCAAATCACCAAAAAATAAAGCCATAATTGCAACGTAACAGTGATCACAGCGACTGTGACCGAATTTTTACATGTAGATAAGAGGTCACATGAAGGGATCTCAGAAGTAGTGCTGTGATATCTGGTTCAGTAGGCCATTCTCTACAGCTAATGTAGGAGCTCTATATTGATTTTTCATCTCATAACGTTACACTCATAGTCCCACAATTGGAGAAAACATATGGGAAAACCCCAATTAATAATATTAATCGTTTTCTGTCCTGGAAACTTACCAACCTTTACACGTAAATTGTGATTCATGAACAGTGGCTGAGACTCAAAGGAACAACTACTTGCGCAATTGTTTTTTAACCGTGTACTGCAAATGTTATACATAGTCGTTTCACTCATATTTTCGGGTGGGACGGCGGAGAATGCAGAAGCTGAATTTCTATTTTTATCAGAGTTGCTTAGCACAGGCCATGAAGGCCTAAATTGCCAATAGTGCCGTTTGTTACTTGCCAAGTGGCCTTGAAATAGTTGAACTTTAACACATCTCTTGAATCATGCTTGGATATTATATCTTGGAAAAGGAGACGATGGAAGGACCTTCCAAGGTTTGAGCATTGCGACAAAAGAAGCAAAAAGAGAAAGAATTGTGTGGTGGGTGACCATAGTATGGATTAGCCTCAAGAGTCAAGCTGGAAAACCGAGTACCCGACATGTGAGGAGGAATCAATGAGTAATGTTTATTGGGGATAACGTACCACGGTTGTAGTGATAGAGGAGTGATAAGGAGGCGACTGAGTGCTGGCGTGCGTGTGAATTGCCACAGCGGTGAAATGTTCACTCTTTCGCCTGGTATGCATGAGGTTGTGGGTTTGATTCCGACCCTGACGCCTGTATATTTGGCGTTTGCCATGTACTCCCCGTGATTGCGTGCATTTTTATCCGGCATCCTACAGTTTTTCCCTCCACATTTAGAAACATGCGTGTAGGATATTCGGCTGCTGTAAATTTCCACTTGGAAAGCCACTTCGTTGAGCCATCGTTTGTGGCCAGGTCGCTTCTGAAAAAGATCTATATAGTTCAGTGGGCCGCACCTGGTAAAATAAAAATAGATTACAGTTTCATAAAATCAGGTGGAGGGAGTAGGAGGATATTCCTTATTTCCAACGGCGGGAGGAGACAGGTATAGGCCGTCACGGTGACAAGATGTTAACTCCCTGACTGACACCTGTAGATTTAGAGTTTGCTTGTCTCTCCCTATGGTCGCGAGGATTTTTCTCTGGATCTTCCGTTTTTTACCTCCACATTTAGAATCAACATCACGCGTTTAAGAGCATTTGGCCGTTATACATTTCAATACGATAAACCACTTCATTGAGCTATCATTTGTGGCCAGGTTGCTTTTCTGAAAAAGAGTTATTTAGCTAAGTGGGTCTTGCCTGATTAAATTATAAAAAAGCGACCTTTCCCCTTAGCCTGTTTGAGAAGCATGGCATTTGATGGAGAGTCCCTTACAAAATATGGCAAAGAGTCTGCATGGTCGGTTGCTTCTATAGCCCAAACATTGAATTGATGTTTGATTTTTGAAGGCGGTTAAGTCAGTTTGTGACTGAGACTGTGGCACATCCATGAATGAGGGAATTGTGAAGAGGGCATTCATTGCAGGGAGTTCCATTGTGTGGAACCTGGCATATCCTTACCAATAACTGATAGCTGAAGTGAAACACCAGAAGCAAAATAAAGTTGCCTACGTTAACAAAACACAAAGGGTCTGTAGCAGATCGTGCTCTTGTATAAAACATTTGGGGAAATTGAATGAGAGTGATTCTGCAGATTTGAGTTACATTGGGGTCGATGCCTCGAATGGATGTTTTAGGCTACTTCCTTGAGTCTACGTATCCCTTGTAGATTTTATCTTGTAACTTTTCGCACATATACTGCACTCTTATTTATTGATGATTTTTTTTCCTATAGCGGAAAAGCGAGCCCCTAGTTAGCCAGATGAAAATGCTGCACATAGAGGAATACAAAAATATATATTGATATTTTTTGACCAGCTCAGGTATCCAGTGGAAAAGGGATGTACACCGGTGTTTAAACATTGACTGGTGAAGTCACCGATCCATTGTGCAACTGGGGCCACCTTCACATATAAAACCTGAGTTGTGCTCCAATGCAAAAAAAAAACCTCTTTCATCGTGTTCATATGATGCAACGCCATAACCAAATGCCTTTTGAAAAAATAATGATCACCACTTTGCACACCAGGCACAGTTGTGACTTTTTTTAACATGCTTTGTTGGGCTCAGAGGAAGAGAAAGAGAAATACAATATTTATCATGCACAAGGCAGAAAGTTGAGCAGATGACAAACCAATGACGTTGGAGTTCAATGTCATGTCACATGGGATTGATGCATGATGACAACTTACGTCAATACCCTTAAGGGTTACTGCATAAATCAGATGTGCCACGTCTCTAATTGCCTTGATTGGCATTTCATGTGCACATAGTCAACTGCAAGGTTGTGAAAAAGACACTGTCGTCTTCCCAAAAAAGCGCATCGGTCACTTTTCACTGACGTCTGTTGAGTTGCAAAGAAGAAGATAAAAGCTCTTACGGAGTTAATTGATTCTGTACGTGCAGGTGTTAAACTCATTAAAATATTAATATGGATGGAACACGCAGCACGAAAAAAAAACCCACCGATGACATAATCCGTTTTGGTAATTAGAGACACACAGATGAACGTAGCGAGTTGTTAACCGCTGCATTAATAAC